CAAAGATGTGTCCACCGAGAACTAAAAAATAAATATTAAAAATTCTCTCTCTCTCTCTCCTCTCTCACTCTCTCTTTAAAAAAAAATGAAAATCTAGATTTTTTAAAAAATAGCTGTAGAACATTGGGACACCTATATCACACTTTGGTATCCCTCTAACAAAAGATAACATACAAAGTGGAGATCATAAAGCATCAAGAGGTACTGATACTTTAAAGAATCTAGGAGTATTTGAGGAATAATTGGACTAAAATACAAAAGTTGATAGGGCTCCTGTATTAACAAATGTATAATTCAGAATGGCAGATAACACTTAACAGGGCTCCGTGGTGCATGCCCATAATCCCAGTTACTCAGGAGACTGAGACAGGAGGATTGTATGTTCAAGGCCAGCCTGGACAATTTAGAGGAAATTCTGTCTCAAAATCTTCTAGAAAGGGTTGGGGGCATAGCTCAGTGATAGGGTGCTTGCCTAGCATGTGCAAAGCCCTGGGTTTGATCCCTAATACTATAAAAAGAGAGAGAAGAAATAAACACAAAACTATTTTTAAAAATTATGCCAAATGTCTGTGCATGAACTACTTAAAACTATTTTCTACTAAAAGTAATCTGCAGAACAGCAGAGCCATGTGGAACACAATTTGAGTGCCACTGAATTTGAGAATAAGTGGTCCTGTTCTTTCACACACACACACACACACACACACACACACACACAGAGAGAGAGAATTACCCTCCTATAAACTTTTCTGTGTTGCTACACTGAAGTTCCCAGACATTTATATCTAATAGACATAGTTTTTCCAAATTTTCTATCCTTGGTGAGATAAGGAAAACAAAATGGCTTCTTCAATTACTTCATTTCTCATGAGTTTTTCTAAATTGTATTGCTAACAAGAAAAATGCTATAGTGCTAAAAAAATAATAAGTCCATATTATAACATCACATTGTTTTTCAGAATTCTCCTGGGATGTGGGGGGGCACTACCAAAAACGCTATATAAAAAAAAAAGTACTGGAATGCAAGTCTTTGGTTCTTGGAAACCTGAAGTATCTTTTATATGGCTTCACTTTCTGAATGACACTTTTTCTCCCCTCTAAACATGCATATCCCCATTGTAGGTCTATGTTAAGTTTAACAAGTGACCTTGTTTCTTTGAAGTTTTTCAGTCTTTGCTTATATCCCAGAAAATAATTACTGTTATTTATAACTCAGAAATGAGACTTACACTTATTATTATTATTATTATTATTAGTAGTAGTAGTAGTAGTAGTAGTAGTGATGGGGATTGAACCCAGGGCTTTGAGCTTGTGAGACAAGCACTCTACCAACTGAGCTATACCCCCAACCCCAATTTATTAGACATCAGCTATAATAAGCAAAAGTGATTCAAATTATTGTGCAACCATCATGTCTTTATATGATTTTTTTGTGTGTGAGAGAGAGTGAGAAAGAGTGAGAAATTTTTAATATTTATTTTTTTTTTAGTATTTGGCGTACACAACATCTTTGTCTGTATGTGGTGCTGAGGATTGAACCCGGGCAGCACGCATGGCAGGCGAGCGTGCTACCGCTTGAGCCACATCCCCAGCCCCTATATGATTTTTTAACAAATGGCTTTCAGTTCTTAAAATCATTGAATCTTAAACCTAGAAGACACTTCAATAATTATATACCCCAATGTAAGTTTTTCAAAATCAACATTATAAATACAGTTTGTTATCATTAAAGATAATGGGTGGCAGAGGCTGGGGTTGTAGCTCAGTGGTAGAACACTTACCTAGCATGCATAGGGCACTGGGTTCAATCCAAAGCACCACATAAAAAAATAAAAACAAATAAAATAAAGGTATTGTGTCCATCTACAACTAAATCTTTTTTAAAACAAAGATAATTTGGAAAATAAAAAACATCCAAAAAATTATGCTTAGTTCCATTAGCAATAAAATTACGTAGACTACTATGTGTTACTTCTTCCAGCCTACTTTCTATGCAAAGGTGACTTCATTTTTAAAATATAAACATTAAATTATGCTGGAGATACAAAATTATGTATTGATTTTTTCACTTAATATTATAGCATAATCATTTTTTTAAAGAGAGAGAGAGAATTTTTTAATATTTATTTTTTAGTTTTTGGCGAACACAACATCTTTGTTTGTATGTGGTACTTAGGATTGAACCCGGGCCGCACGAATGCCAGGCGAGCGCACTACCACTTGAGCTACATCCCCAGCCCCGCATAATCATTTTTTACACTATGGTGTAATATTCACAAATAGTGCTTTACATAAATTTGCAAAATACCTCACTTAATGCTATATATAAACTACGTAAACATTCTTCTTTAATTGATGTTTAATCATACATTAATTGTTGATGATCATAAATTACACTGAAGTTAATAAATGATCTTGCTTATGCTATGTCATTTACAATATGTCTTTTTTTTTGTATAGCTGCTATATTTTTCTTCACTCTACAAATAGAATAAAAATTAAATTTTAGTCCAACCTTGTAAATTCCATCAAGTCAATTTAAATAATTTAAATAGTTGTATTTGGATGACTTTAGATTTTAAATCTTCTTCAAATCTACTATTGTTTCTAAAAAGTCTTTAGGGTTTACTTTTCCTCCTGGCATTAGGCAAAGAATATGGAGTCCACAAGATGGTGTTGGTCTGTCTTCATCTCTAGGATATGTATTTGTTAATTAGCTTGATTTAATTATTCCAAAAAATAAATATGTATCAAAACATCACATTGTGCTTAATAAACAAATAATACATGCAATTATTATTTGTCAGCTAAAATTAAAAAATAATACTAAAAGGAATTATAGGAATTTTTATTTTTTATTAGTACATTATAACTATAATTATGCTGAATTATAAGAATTTATAAAAGTTTTTTCCTTCAAAACTATATTGATGTGATGGGCACAGTGGCACATGCATGTAATCCTAGCAGCTCAGGAGGCTGAGGCAGGAGAATTGCAAGTTCAAAGCCAGCCTCAGCAAAAGTGAGGCACTAAGCAACTCAGTGAGACCCTGCCTCTAAATAAAATACAAAAAAGGGCTGGGGATGTGTCTCAGTAGTCAAGTGCCCCTGAGTTCAATTCTTAGTCCCCCTTCTAAAAAAAAAAATATATATATATATATATATATATATATATAGAGAGAGAGAGAGAGAGAGAGAGAGATGCATTTGCAAATATGTCAAAATGACTCCACCATTACGTATAATATAATGCACAAAAAATCAAATCAAATATATTGATGTGTTTTCCTTTTTTGTATTTATATTATGTAACTTTTGCTTTATTTGGGGGGGGAAGCTTGCAAAATAGCCAGATTTCCAGCAACATTCATTGAGAGAGAGAGAGAAAGACAGAGACAGAGAAAGACACAGAGAGGAGGCACCAAAATAAAAGGGATAAATGAAAAAGAAGCACCAACATTATAAAGATAATTAACACCCAGCAACTTTAACAAGTTAGGCAAAATGGAAAAATTCCTAGGAAAGTATAACTTGCCAGAATTGATTTGATAACATATTATAAGCATGGATAGTTCCATTAATATTAAAGAAATTAAAGCACTAATTTAAAATCTTCCTTTAAAGCAAACATCAAGCTCAGAACAGATCATGCTAATCTCATTCAAATTTTCCCAAGAGAATATGAGAAGAAAAAGGATTTCTCCCCATAATTAACCTTGCTAATCTATGATATCAAAACAACATAAAGACGGGATGTAGCACAGTGGTAAAGCACATGCTCAGCATGCATGAGGCCCTGGGTTCAATCCCCAGCTCTAACAAAATTAAATAAACAAACAACTACTTTAAATCTACATAAAAAACATTACAATAAAGAAACATAACAAACTTATTTCACCCATCGATGAAGGCTTAATAATTTTAAGTGAAAAGCAGTCATACTTCTATACATCAGTAACAAATTAGTAAAGAATGTTTTTTTTTTTCAGAATAACTATCTTTATAATAACCAAAAAACTGGAACCCACCCAAATATCCATTAACAGTAGAATAGATAAATAAATTGTAAATTTAATTTAAAAGGACAAGTAGAATTTAATTTAAAAGAACACACCAGGAAAAAGTTTCTTGGCATTGTCTTGGCAACAAATTTTTCTATATAACCACAAAAGCACACAAGACAAATGCAAAATAGACAAGTAGATAGATAGACAGAGATAGATAAGATTGGATTGATAGATTAGATAGATAGGAATCATCTTTGATAAAGAAAATCAACATTGGGCACGGTGGTGCAGGCCTGTCATCCCAGTGGCTTGGGAGGCTGAGGCAGGAGAATCATGAGTTCAAAGCCAGCCTCAGCAAAAGTGAGGTACTAAGGAACTCAGTGAGACCCTGTCTCTAAATAAAATACAAAATAGGGCTGGGGATGTGGCTCAGTGGCCAGATGCACCTGAGTTCAATCCCTGGTACCCCTACCCAAAACAAAACAAAAAAAAGAATTATCTGATTTTTATATTAATGGTCTCTTACTTTGACCACTAGTTGTAGTATCCAACACGGCCAAACATATTAATCCATTTGACAAATATTAATTGGATGCCTACTATGTGCCAGAAATGTTTGGAATATGGAGAAGCACATGAAGGAAAATATAAAAATAAGTACTATATCAAGCAAAACACTACAAAGGAAAATTAAGTAATATAATTAAAAATGAGAAAGTCATTCTTAGCTCTAGGAGTTTGAAACAGGCAGCAAAGTAGGTTTGGCCAATGGCCCATAATTTGTCAACTCTTGAGCTAGAGGAGAAAGCAGTGAAGCCGCCATGGAGCTAGAGTTCTAGTGAATGAGTTTACAGAATTTGAAATTATGGGACCCTAGGGTTTGTAACATTCTTTTGAGGATACAGAAGACCCTTTACATGTTCCAGGTCAAGAATACATATAGATAAGGGAGAGGGAAATGGGAAAACTAACAATATTCATAATTTCTTTTGAAGCCTGGTACCCCGATGAAAATCATACACAGAATAATGAAACTAAATGGTCTAGTGCTCACTCTGGTATTTTCCATTTAGAAAGTGTCATCTCCACTAGTAAACAATTAGGGGATTTTCATGGCTGTTTTTTGGTTGAGGATGTAGCTAAGTAATCATTAAAAAAAGCCACAATTGCAATTTGGTACAGTTTTAATATTTACAAAGAATAGCTCTACTGATACAGAAAACAGAAAACAGCTACAAATGTACTTTTAAAAAATGTTTGAATTTGTCTTTCAACCCAAATATAGCAGCCTTCTGCAGTCCATTTCCCTTAAGAAGAAACAATTTGGAGGAATTTATTTGGGTAGAAAACACTATTTTTTAAAACTCTCTACCCTGAAACTTTTGGGGTTTTAGTTTTGCCATGTTTTTTTTTTCTTATTCTCATTTGGCTTGTCTTTTTTTTCTGATTTTTCTGCTCCCTTAAGTGGATCATAACCTTTTCTTTTTTGATCATTTTTATTTTTGCTTTGTTGCTGTGCAAACCTCTCTTTGAAACCATTATGATTTATCTTCCCACATTCCTTCATCATGTGTAATATTAAGAGATTTCTTCTTTATTCACACCTAATTTCTATCCAACATTTGCTTTTCAGGTTTTTGACTCTCTTTTATAGCCCCCTCCAGCACATTTTCCAAATAAATCAATATAGTATTGTTTTGGGGTAGATGAAAGAGATGGAAGCATCCTCTCTATGGATTCACATTGCTGTACTGTGAAATGTGAAGACTAGGTGTACTGATCTCAGTTGATGCCAACTGTAATAGGCGACTAATGACTAAATCCCTAGCTTTTGAGGTCTCCAGGTTCTTCTCTCTAGACACTTGAAGACTAATTTGGTCCACACTTGTCATGATGAGTTCAGATGCCAGAATCTGGGTAGGAGAACTGTCATGAAACATGGCATCCATGATGTACTGCTTATATAACTCCACCACCTTCTGCTCCAAGTACTCATTCAGCACTGCATTTGAAATAGGTTTCTGCATTTGCAGGCTGCTTTTTTCTTTGATGCTGGTTATTTTCCAATATGATGAGTACCGCTGAATAGGCTTTTGGGGAAAGTCACTGGGCTGAGTGGAAATGGAATCTTCCATGGGCAAAGGAATCTCCGATGACTTCAACAAAGGACCACATTCAAAACTGCTCTCAGAGGGAAAATCTGTCATCACTGAGTTAACGGCCATCACCTGTCCCCCTGCAATATGTAAGTCATTGTAATTCTTGCAAATGCTTTTGCAGGAAGGTGGAACCAAGTAGGTCCCTCTATGGAGGTCTCTACATATTTCAACCGCAGCCAAGTTTGGGCTTTCAAACACTGGATTAGGGTTTGTCTGCAGCACTGTGACTCTCTGACTTCTGTTGCATTGGTTTTCTCTTGAGTGCAGTGAAGAAATAAACTTGCCAGAGGATTTGCAGCTCACGTAAAGACTTCTGACTTCCTCTTCACCCACAGAGGAATAGGAAAGAGCAGCAACAGAAGTTGTCTCCTCTTCCTTTTCCCCAGCCACCTGTTCATTATAAGATGCATGATTCCAGTAGATGTCATTCCAGTAGGCGAGTCCACTGAGATACCCTTCTGACAGCATTCTGGAAAGAGAATTGATGAGTAACGATGGGGAAAAAGAAGACTGGACTCTTTTAAGTTGGCAATTAATATATCAAAAATATAAAGGATGGCCAGGCATAGTGGCACATGCCTGTAATCCCAGTGGCTCAGGAGACTGAGGCAGGAGGATCTTGAGTTCAAAGCCAGCCTCAGCAAAAGCAATAAACTAAGCAACTCAGTGAGACCCTGTCTCTAAATTTTAAAAAATTCAAAAAAGGGCTGGGGGTGTGGCTCAGTGGTTAAGTGCCTCTGGGTTCAATCCCCAGTACAAAAAAAAAATGTAAAAGGTGATGAATGAAATAATTTTATTCACTCACCAAGCCATTACTAATTCCATGCCTCTTGAATACCAGAACTATGGCATGTTCTGGGTATATAATGATGAAATGATACATACCAGTTCCATCCTTCAAGAAGTTTCTCACTATGCAAGAAAATAAACTAGATACAAATAATTCCAATATTATATCACTGGGGATATAATTGTGATAGGCATAAAGAAAGTCCAGAGGAGGGGACTCTAACACAACCTGGGGTAAAAGGGGAGAAGTCACAGGATATCTCACAGGGAATGTGGCATTTCAGTTGAGTGATGAAACTAAATAGGCATTCCAGCCATTGGCACAGTTATAAGAGAATATAGTGGTACAACTTATTCACCACATACCAAGAAGCTGAGCACAAGCAGAAGAGACTGGGAAAATAATCTGGAATTGTATCATGAAGGCCCTTGACAGCCAGGCAAAGGGATTTATATTCTGCCTCAGAAGGAATGGAGAGTTATTGAGAAGTTGTAGTTTGAATAGCAACATGGCTAGTGGACTATGAGAAAAATAGTGAGGAAATCTGGCAAATTCTACTAAAAACAAGAGCTGTGTCTTACTCATCTTTATATTGTATCCCTGGGAGCTGGATTGTTTTCTGTTTTGTTTTTTAATTAAGGAGGGACCCAAAATGTATTTGTTAACTTGAATGAAACAATGGCTGCTATGAAATCAATTCACACTCATCACATGATGCAGGATTACAGTTTCTCCTACCTTTGCAGAACAGGGTGGATTTTTTTTCTCTACACCTTCCACTTCTCAAAATATATCATGGAAATGTCTCTGCACTCAATTGGTATGTTTACCTCTACCCTAGTTAAGCACAGAGCTTTCCTGATAGTAGGCTTTCCCTACACCTGCCTCCTCTCCCCACCCTCTGCAGTTGTCATTGAAGTCTGGAGTGGCTAAAATAGGCCAGAAACCACAGCTGCATTTTCTAAAAAAGGAACACACTGGCATTCTTGGCACTGGAGCAACCAGCCACAGTGAGGAAAACTGGTCCTCTTTGGCCTCAAGGTCTGGGCTTCTAAAAGAGATCTACCAATTTGACCCTGAAATTGACAAGTCATATTAGAAAAGAAGGATCATTTTAAAACCATATATAAAGGTCCTTTTAAAACTGTCAGCCCTTTTTTTTACATTCATGTAGTTTTTATTTTCCAGGTAGATAAAATATATCCCTCTTTTTATTTATTTTTATTTTCCCTCTCTTTTAATTCAATAAGAGTAATATATTTTCTTTTTTGCAAATATTCTAAGGTATAATCAGCAAATTTATCAATTACTTAAATGTTTACTATATTCCAGGCACAATTATGTGCCATAAAGATGCAAAGTTAAAAGTCTTCAATAAATCCATGAATAATTATTGTTTGCTAAACGCACTTATAAAGAAAATGTTGGTTTTTTCCTTAAAAAAAAAAGAAGAAAACTTTCTAAGTGCAGTTCTGCCCTCAACAAACCTAACCAACTGGGTGAAAAGGCAAACTTTACATACTACAAGATAATTAACAAAGTAAAAGAGATTAGCATAAAGTCCTAATAGTGATGTAATTACTTCCCCCTCAGGTCTCTCTCCTAGGCTGTAGCTAGGATATTGCTTTTAAGGCCTCAAAACCTCATTGTGGAAACTCCGGGCAAAATTGCACTGTTGTCTTTTGAGTTTCTAAATAAGCTTTAGAAACTCTGAACAAAAACAACAATTTTAGAGAAATGACTTGCGAGATACCATAACCTGAAGTTTTGAACTTCAAAATTCAGAACCATGAAGAATTTAGGGCATGATATTTATGCATTAACAATAGACGCAAGTGATCTGAATCTACCGTGGAAGAAAACAGTATGACTTGAGAAAGGTTTAGGGAGCCCAAAACAGATGAAGTCTGTGACTCCAGCCCATGTAGATTCTGAGCAAGCAAAAAGCCTCACAAAATTCTTTCATGTTCAACAGTGGTGCAGTTGACATGGTGCAGTGGACCATCCAAAGGACAGGCCTGAGGTCACTTCATCAAATCTTACACACAGCATGGTACTGAGAGCTTGAAAACTGGAGAATTCCTAGAATTGGGATACAAAGATTGCAGACATGATCTCCATGGAGTACTAACCAGGGGCTAGGTAAATGAATGACAAGAAGTCTCCATGTGTATCAGTGTGACTACATAGTAAAAAACAAAGATTGCCCCCACCTACCCCCATTCCTAACTGATCCTATGATTCTATATAAGCAACCAGGAACTTAGAGGTAAACTCCAGGAGGAAGTAATCCTAAAGTGATTAAGGAATTCCTGATTGCCAGGGAGAAATTTTCCACCTCTCCAGAGAATGTGAGCCCCAAAAAGATAAATTAAGGTAGAGAAAAGCAAAGATTTACAGAGAAGATAGCAGAATAGGCATATGCATGTGTTTTTTTTTCCTCCTGCCCCAACCTTCATTAAAACAACAGTAAATGATGCTTGTAAAAGATATAACACATAAGAAAAGGGGAAACATGAGGTGAAACAAGAGCAATTACATTTTATATGCTGAAAAGTAGTGGACCAAGGGTTAATGTCTTAGGAGACTGGGAAAACTTACAAGAGCCATGGGAAAATACAAGTGCCAAAATGATTTAAATTCCCCTAAAGTTGAGGAATTTCTTTTTTTTTAAGAGAGAGAGAGAATTTTTTAATATTTATTTCTTAGTTTTCGGCAGACACAACATCTTTGTATGTGGTGCTGAGGATCGAACCCGGGCTGCACGCATGCCAGGTGAGCGCGCTACCACTTGAGCCACATCCCCAGCCCTGAGGAATTTCTTAACACTGCATACCTCTGGGGGTAAGGGCAAAAAGGCTATATGGTGTATCTAAAGTTAAAAAAAAAAAAAAAAAGATTGATTGAAAGTCTATTTAAAAGGAAATCTGACACCCAGACCCTGTGTCTCATTCCATGCAGCCAGGTGATCATCTGCTATCATCAACCCCAAAGAAAAACTTGAGACTTAGTCTCTGAATAATAAAAGAGGACCCCCCCTAGACCAGGGGATACTAGCTGAGGATAGAATTACTGAATTGATAAAAGATAGATTAAATAAATATATGAATGTTGGTGCAGAGATCCATGATCCCAGATCTTCCCTTACTCAGTTCCCAGAATGCTTGCAACAGGGTCATCCACTTTCTAGGCAGGGTATTAGAAAAAATGTTCTGAGTAATCTGACTATTATAGTTTGAGAAGAGCCATTGACATCAGAAGTTCTCCAACTCAACTGGGCAATTACCCTTCAGTTAAGCTTACAATCAATTAAGCCCATTGAGCTTTTTGGATTCCCATCCTTTAAGATGACTGGAACTTTGAAACATCTGAGGAAAGATCTGCTATGAGAGAGTCAAAAACAGCCACTTAGAGGATAAAGCTCTATAAGGGCAAAATCTGCTATCAGTATTTCCAGAGTTAAAAGATCATATCACAATCATGAATTGCAAATGGGATGTTATGAAAAAGAGGTATTTCTTAATAAGAATTCTAATGTTCAAGAAAAAAAATCAAGCATCAATAAGTGAGGACTGGAGTTGTGGCTCGGTGTAGAGCTGTTGCCTAGCATGCATGAGGCCCTGGATTTGATCCTCAGCACCACATAAAATAAATAAATAAATAAAGGTATTATGTCCATCTACAAGTAAAAAAAAATATTTTAAAAAAAAGAACCAATAAGAGGGGTGGCATCAAATTAAAAAACTTTTGTACAGCAAAAAAACAAGAGTGTGAAGAGAGAACCCACAGAATGGGAGAAGGTTTTGGCTAGCTACTCTTCCAAAAGAGAAATAATATTCAGAATATATAAAGAATTTAAAAAAAAACTTCAACACAAGAAAAACAAAGAACTAAATAAATTGGTATATGATCTAAACAGACATTTGTAAAAAGAAGAAATACAAATAGCCAAAAAAAAAAACTATTTAAAAAAATGTTCCATATCTTTAGCAATCAGGAAAATGGAAATCAAAACTACAGTAAGATTTCATCTTACTCCAGTTAGAATAGCAATCATTAAGAATACAAAAATAGGGCTAGCACTGTGACTCAGTTGTAGAGCAGTTGCCTAGCATGTGTAAGGAACTGAGTTTGATTCCAACCACCACATAAAAAAAATACTGAATAAACAAAATAAAGGTATAAAAAATATTTTTTATAAAAAGAATACAAAAATAGCCAGGCACGGTGGTGCATGCCTGTAATCCCTGTGGCTCAGGAGGATTGTGAGTTCAAAGACAGCCTCAGCAAAAGCGAGGCCCTACGCAATTTTGGAGACCCTGACTCTAAATAAAACACAAAATAGGGATGGGGATGTGGCTCAGTGGTTGAGTGCCCTTGAGTTCAATCCCTGGTACCTCTCCTTCCAAAAATTAAAAAATAATAGAAGGAATACCACCAGAGTAGAGGAAGGGGATCAGGAAAGAGAAGGTGAAGGAAGGAGAAAGTACTGGTGAATGAGATTGATCAGATTATTTTACATGCATATATGAACATGGCATAATGAATCTCACTATTGTGTATAATTATAATGTACTGCTAAAGTATGAATTAAAAAGTACACTGAAGCTTTTGGAAATTAAAAATCATTATTTTAAAGTTCAATACAAGGATTGGAAGGTAAAGTTAAGGCAATTTTT